ACACACACACACACACACACACATATAGTTGTTGTTTTTTTTGTTTGTTGTAGTTTTGTGAATGAAAAAGACAAGGACCCCCTTGCCAGGAAAGTATCCATGATTCAAAACTGCCTTTTTAATGATATTGTACATTTTTTCCATTCCTAGCTCTCAGAATTGTTTGCTTTGAAATTAAGCCTTTATATTTTTGTATTTTTGATTGCTGTGGGTTGTCATTTAGCTCAGGTCACCTATAATACAGTAATAACATTACATCACATAACATAAGACACTTTATTGTCCTTGTAGATGTACAATAAAAGTATGCTTGGTGACTCTCAGGCTGAGAGCTGCACACAAATGAAATGAAAACATTAAATTGAAGCTAAATGTAAAACATTAAGACAAGAAAAGAAAAACACTGAGACAAGATGAGAACAAGGTGAAACCACAGATAATGATGAGATAAAAACAGTGACAAATAATAAGTCTAAATGGCTCTGGGCATCTCACTGTAATATAAATCATAGTTGAGAGGGTTTTTTAATTAACAAAGCAGAATAATAATGTTCAGATTTGTTAAAAATATTCTGTTACAGCCTGGCGTGAGTTTCTAGTTTTACCATCATGATGCATACCAAACCCCACAGGGAGTCTTCACACTGTTGATGTTTATTTTCACATTAGGTACTTGATTTAAGAACAACACGCAGGGAGCAATTTACAGTCAGACAGCATTTAAACACTTAAATCAACACCTTCATTTACATACATCTTGGTTCGTGCCAATTAATTTAGATAGTCATATTGACACTGTTGTCTATATTGCAGCTATTTTAATGCAGGCTCTCAGAGGATGGTGTTGAACAATACTGCCATCTGCTGCTTTTAATGAGAGACCTTCGTTGTTGCATCGGCCTCTGAGCAATGTAGGAGATCAAATGTGAGCCCAGCATTTAATTATCGTCAGTAACTCTGATGTACTCTCAATGAAGCATTGTCAACTGCATTTATATTCAAGGCTCTTATTTTTATTTCATTAAAATCAACTATAATGCAACAGCTAAGAAATATACTGTGGTAGTGTGGAGCACTGTGAGTCTGACGAACATTCATAATTGCATATATGGTATGTAGATGAACAAACATATTGTCCACCACAACAGACTCAATGCATCCACTAGATGTCAGTGCACATCCTGGTTCCTCTTCGAGAGCTAGTAAGACCTCATGTCATGGATTTGTACATTTGGCTGGAAATTTTGTTGGAAAATTTTAAATAAATACGTTTTTAAAAAGAGTAATGAACACTTTTATTTGTTTTTATGTGTTTTATGTGTTTTTATGTCTTTGTTTTCACCACCTACATCTATTGTCGTCAACCTCTGCTTGTCGTTGGTTAGCTTTTGTTGTAATTGCTCAGTATGGAAGACAGTGGTTGTTGCTTCCAGGACATTTTGACACGTCACAGTAGGAAAACCACATGGTATAAATAAAAACAATAATAATTAATGATGGCTGAATTCAATTTAGTTGCTTCAGTTTCAGGGTCTGTGTATTGTGTGTGCCAAATCACTGTCACAATGCCTTACTGACACTTGAACAGAACAAAGCCATTGTTAATATCATTGGTAACACCTGTGCCTTATTATTTTGCTTGTTTATCACCATTATCATTGCAAAAGAAACCCTGTGATGTATATTAAACACAGTCACACTGAATTCGGTTATCATTAGTGACAACATCTACAAATGGCTGGATTACTCTACAGGTTACTGTTCTGAAAAAGTACAGAAATGTTTTGTGTTCTTGCTATGTGCCAGCGTGTAGGAGAGCTATGGTGACCAATGTGAAAACGTGAATGGCCCTATCAAGAGCTAGTGTTTGGTTCGTCTGTCTGGGCAATGTATCCTCAACCAATGATATCTCATGAAAATGCACTTACAGTGGTTAGTATGAATTAGTGGCCAACAAATTAGTGCCTTTATATAGTTAAAGTAAAGTTATGTAGGTTAGGCTGAGGAAAGTAAAGTTTGTCGACTAGGTTTAGGAAAAAAAATTGTTGTTGGCTGTTGTCATGTGTTGCACTTACTGTGAAGTTCTACTTAACATAACGTGACAACATACCCTAAAATAACTCAAAATAGTATATGATATACTTTGGTTTCTTACTTTAAAGTTAAAGTTACCAATTATCTGATGTGCATAGATTAATAACAGTACAGCAATCCTGTTTCACTGAGTTATGTATCTGTGTGTACCGTCGCATCCAAAAGTTTGGACACCCCTGGAGAAAATTTCTTTTACTGTGGCTAGTTATGTGAGTAGAGGATGAACTGATCTCCAAAAGGCACTAAGTTAAAGTTAGTGTATTATTTTTGTTTTGTACAATTTTAGAGTGAAAAAATGGATAGGAGCACCACGCAAAAGTCTGGGCACCACAAGACACTTAAGCTCTCGGACAACTTTTAAAAAAATTCTCAGACCATAATAATAATAATAATAATAATCATCATCATCATCATTACTAAAGGCCTGGTGATGCAAATTTCAAAGCTCTATAAATACTATGACTCCTGAAACCATGTCCCAACAATCAGCAGCCCTGGGCTCCTCTAAACAGCTGCCTAGCACTCTGAAAACTAAAACAACAGTAACAAATTTCCACCCATGGAGGACAATAAAGACATATTATATTCTGAATGATGCCTACAAAGCAGGAGAAGGCTGTAAGAACATAGCAAAGCATTTTTGGGGAGCTGTTCCCTCAGTGGTAATGTAATTCAGAAATGGCTCATAGGATCGTTAAAAAAGCAAATGAATAGCCCTGTTAGACTGCAAAAGACCTGCAGGAAGATTGATCAGACTCTGGAGTGGTGGTGCACTGTTCTACTGTACAGTGACACCTGTACAAATATGACCTTCATGGAAGAGTCATCAGAAGAAAACCTTTCCTGCATCCTCACCACAAAATTCAGTTTCAGACATTTGCAACAGAACATCTAAACAAGCCTGATGCTTTTCAGAAACAAGTCCTGTGAACTGATGAAGTTAAAATAGAACTTTTTGGATGCCGTGAGCAAAGGTATGTTTGGAGGGAAAAGGGTGCTGAATTTCATAAAAAGAACACCTGTCAAACTGTTAAACACAGGGGGTGGATCAATCATGTGCTGGGCTTTTGTTGCAGCGCAGTGGCACAGGGGACATCTCAGGGGTAGAGGAAAGAATGGATTCAGTTCATTCCAGCAAATTCTGGAAGCAAACATCACACCATCTGTAAAAAAGCCGACGATGAAGAGAGGATGGCTTCTACAACAGGACAATGATCCTAAACACACCTCGAAATCCACAATGAACTACCTCTAGAGGCACAAGCTGAAGGTTTTGTCTTTACAGCCCCATGACCCCAACATCATTAAAAATCTGTGGATAGACTTCAGAACAGCAGTGCGTGTAAGACAGCCCAAGAATCTCACAGAACTAGAGGCCCTTTGCAGGAAGGATGGCTGAAAATCTCCCAAACAACAATTGAAAGAAGCTGTGATACTTGCCAAAGGGGGCGCTACTAAGTACTGACCATAGAAGGCGCTCGAACTTTAGCTTCAAGCCCTTTTTTTTGTAATTATAAAAGATTTCAATTAAAAAAGGTAATCTTGCTTAAAATATTGAAGAAATGTGTCATCTTTAATGTTTGCCTTGTGAAAATCAGAAATTCTTTCTTCAGCTGGTTGTCTTTCTCCTTAAAAAGACAAATACAGGCTACAGCTTGAATTTAAAGGAGTATATTGATTGTAAGAAACAAAACATTTATGCCATGTTCACACTGGACGTAGAAGCGATCCACTATGTCAGTATGTTGTGCAGCTGCCTGTCAGTTGCCTGGCAGTTTACTCCAGAAGCGCATTTGTTCGCACAAGCAATTCTGCTCCCCTGCTCTGTTGTAATCACATTTAGAGCTCTGCCTATCATAGGCGTTTCTAGCCCATTTT